ATCAGGCAAGGAAGGCACTGTCTGCGGACAGGACTGGGTGTGGAAACGCTTTGAAGTGTCCCCCCCTCCCGCTCAAGGTCAGCCCTCAGGCCCTCGCAAGCATGCAGGGTCCTGGATTTCGGAGGAGGGAAGCCTTTCTCCCAGGAAGGGAGTGGGCTTTGCTCCGTGCCCGGACCCGTGGCAGGTGCTCACAGTCCAGGGCTCAGCTGTTGCCGGGGCACAATCAAAGCCCCCAAAGGAGGGTACTATTTCCTGAGTGTGCTGCTCCGATGGCTACAGACTGGCCGAGACCCAGGGGGGGGGCGGGGGGCAAACTGCGGCCCGAGAGCCGCATTGGGCTCTTTGGCCTCTTGAGCGTGGCTCTTCCACAAAACACTACGGCCTGGGCGAGTCTATTTTGAAAAAATGGCGTTAGAAGTTTAAGATGAAAAAAAAAAATTGGCTCCCAAAAGAAACTGCAATCGTTGTACTGTTGACATTTGGCTCGGTTGACTAATGAGTTTGCCGACCACTGGCCTACGCCAACAGGAACAAGCGCTCTGGCCATCTGGGTGCCAGACTCTGAAATTAGGGCGTCTAGGGCCGTGGTCCCTTGGAGGGCTGGGCTCCGGGTCAGGGTCCTTCCTTCCTTCCTGCCTCATCAGCCTCTAGGGCTCCTTTGCTCCTGGCCCCATTTCTCCACGGTCCCAACCTCATGACCCGGCCTGTCCCGCCATTTTCACCTGACTCCGCCTCCGCCCTCACAGAAGCCCACATGGCTTTTAGGTGTGTGTGCCTCAGGCCCATCACGGGCCCCGCCCCCTGATCACGTGGGCACCCAGGCTGCCACGTGGCCCTGCTCCCTGATGACGCACACACATCCGGCCAATCAGGTGGCCCCACCCCTGATGGGGAGCGCACCTCAAGCCCTCCACCTGGCCTGGCCCCTGATTATGTGGGCACTCCGGCTGCCACGTGCCCCCGCCCCCTGATCACGTTGGCACCTCCAGCCAATCACGTGGCCCCGTCCCTGATCAGCTGTGCACCTTCACTCTCCGGATGGTCCCCCGCCGTGCACCTGCCCACGGGTGAAGCTACGGGCAGCACAGAGAGGGCGAGGGGCTTCTTCCTCTGAGGGTACTCGGCAGGACAAGGGCAGAGAGGACAATGGAAGCCTGGGCTGCCCAGAGCCTCTGTTCCCTTGACCTGTGACCTCTGCCACCCGTGGCAGCATCTCGTGTCCCATGGGCCCCCAGTCAGCCCACTGCACCCTCAGCGCTCCCCTGTAGCTCCAGGGACCTGCAAGGCCCGGGCCCCAGCAGGTCACCTGTTTTCCAGGTTCTGCCTTTAGCCCCAGCGTCCTCAGACCCGGTCTGGGCGTAGGGCTGGCAGGGTGGGTGGGATAGGGGAAGGAGGAGGTTGTCCCAGCTCCTGGAGGGCTCAGCCTGAGCTCTGCGGCCACCGGAAGGGACCGGTCTGCGGGGTGGTTAGGCAGAACAGGCCTCCCAGGGCAACCACTGGATGCCCAGCTGGCCCCAGAGCCATTCTACAGCCTCCCCTCCCCTTAACCCTCCTCAAGGGGAAGCAGCTGTGCTTTCAGCCCAGCCCAGCCCAGCCCAGCTGCCTGCCTTGGGAGGAGGCAGGGGCTGTCGCCCTCTGCCGGCCAGGTCTTGTTACTTCAGAGTAGGAGGCACCCTGGCACCCAGCCCCTGCCCAGTGGAGGCCATCCCCACACATCAGCTCCATCTCCCAGTTCAGAACCAGGCCCTGGAGGGGCTCCAGTCACCCGGGATGGAGCAGAGCTGGACTGGGAATCGGGACCGTGTCTCCTGGGGATGTGTGTGGGGAGGCGCAGGCCATAGGCAGAGAAGCAGGTAGCCCAGACCCCCTCACCCCCTGCTTTGAATGGTGACCTCCATGTTGTCCCAAGACATCCCTGAGGCTGATAAACGGACCCACTTACAGACAGTCAGCCCCACCAGGGTCACCCCACACATGTGGCTCCATGTCTGCGGAGCTGAGCTTGGTGGAGCCACACATCCCAGCGGCCACCCCAGCTGGTCAGGGTGTCAGGGCAGTGGGCACTGGAACCCATGACACACTCCCAGGAACCACTGAGCCACTGCTCTCCCTCTGGCCCGTGCTAAGAGGGCCTGCCCCCTCCGCCTGCTCTGGGACCCCTGAGCGAGGGCGCAGGCAGCAATAGGTTCACGGCAAACCCCACCACCCGCCCTTCGCTGTCCAGGCTCCCCGTGTCCCTCCTTCCCCCGCAGCCTCTTCCTCTCACGGCAAGGGTCCCCAGGCCCCAAGCAGCCCCCCTTTTCCTTCCAGTGGTCGGCAAACTCATTAGTCAACAGAGCCAAATATCAACGGGGTCAACGACTGAAATTTCTTTTGAGAGAGAGCCAAATTTTTAAAAATTAAACTTCTTCTAAAGCCACTTCTTCAAAACACACTCACCCAGGCCGTGGTATTTTGTGGAAGAGCCACACTCAAGGGGCAAAAGAGCCGCTTGTGGCTCATGAGTCACGGTTTGCCGACCACGGCTAGCCTATTGCTTTCAAAGATCTGGCCTTTGGCTCTGAGTCGTCTTTCCCCCAAACACACTGTAAGCTTTCGCCCCGGGGACTCTGCTGGACACGTCCCTCCCTCACCCCCCGGCCCTCACCTTCCCCTGCCCAGATGCCACGCCCTCGGCCCTGCCTCCCTGTCCGGTGTGCAGCCCAGGAGGTCACTTACTGTGAAATGGGGCGATGCGTCCGCCTGGATCCTCAGAGTGTCCTCAGGTCCGCTGTGGGAGCCCCAGACAGGGGCACTCCCCAGCAGGCAGCATCGTCCTTCTGGCCCCTCCCTACCCCTTCCCCGCCCCACACCACATCTCTGGAGACCCCTTAGGCTGAGGGTACACACCTGTGGGCAAGGCGGGCACTTCCTGGGCAGACGGACAACAGAGTCCTGGCAGCTGGGAAAGGGGGCAGGCGCCGCCGGTGAACTCAGGAGACAGCCCCAGCCGGGCAGGGAGCTCCCGTCATGTCCTCCCGCTGCACTACCTTCTAGCCCAGGCCTGCCCCAGGGTCTTCCCAACTGGCTCGGGGCTGGGGGGGGGGGGGAAGAAGAAGGCCAGGAGGGGGGCAGGAGACACCATCTGCCCCAGGAGCTGAAGGTGAGGAAGGCCCACCTTCAGGCCACATCCATTAGCTGCATGACTCCCTGATGTTTCCCTTTGGTGAAGGCCGCCTCCCTGCCCCAGCCTGTGCTCAGCGGGCGATGGGTGGGAGCCATCAGGGGGCAGTGCCAGCAGCAGAGAGGGGCTCTGGGCAGAGAGCTGGCGGGGGGTGGAGGTGGGGGGCGGGTTCTAGCCTGGACACCATCTGAGGGATCACCAGCCTGGGGGGGTCTTTGCGTTTGATTCATTAGGGGGCCTGTGTGTGTGTGTGTTTTTTAGAAAGGGAGAGAGAGAGACAGAAACATCCATGATGAGAGAGAATCATTGATTGGCTGCCTCCTGCACACCGCCCTTGGGACTGAAAACACAACCCAGGCATGTGCCCTGACTGGGAGTCAGTGACTTCATAGGTCGACGCTCAGCCACGGGGCCACGCCCCTGGGCCTGGGTCTCCCGCAGGTGATGAGAGAGGCAGGAGAGAATCGTCGCCTGGCTGCTGCGGGAGGCCCCGCCGAGGCGAGAGGGAGAGGCGAGGCTTTCAGGGGCCTGGCACCCGGATCCCTGCAGCCACCTCTTCAGAGGCCCTGCAGCCCCTTCTCCCAGGCTCACCGGGAGGGCACAGGAGACCCACCCGCCAGGGCCTGCAGCTGCTGACCTGCCCGCCAGGACCAGGACCACGTTGAAGCGACCCCCGCCCCCCCTGCCCTGCCCATCCCCAGGGCCTAGCTTGGGGGGTGCAGTGTGTGCTGATTGGACAGAAACACCCCGTTCTTTTCTTCTCTCTGGTGCCTTCCATCTACAGTCCTGGAGGCAGACCAGGAAGGACAGGGGGCGGGAGGGGCAGGAGGAAGCGGGCAGAAAGGCCACACTATGGACCGGGCGGGGCTGGGTGGCAGGGAACACAGGAGGAGGGCGGGTTAGGAACGATCCAGAGCACGGACAGGGGTGGCGGGATAGTACTCAGCAAGGACAAGGCATGCGCTGTGGGGCCCAGAGGAACCTTAAGCACAGGTTGCCAGGGAGGAAGCCGATCTGGAAAGGCGACCTACTGTGTGATTCCAGCCATAGGACACACCGGCCAAGGCAAGGCCATGGAGAGAGAAAAGACCAGTGGCTGCCACGGGTTGCGGGGAGGAGGGATGAAGAGGCGGAGCACTCGTCATAAAAGACCTCCTAGCAGAGAGGGGGCCCCTGGTGAGGGTCAGGCCCAGCGGGAGGAGATGATGTGCAGACTTCAGAGAGTCTGGGGTGGGGGCGGCGGTGGGTGTGGGGTTCAGTGGGGTGAGAGGCACTTCTGCAGGGGCTGCTCAGTGTTTAGGACCCTCAAGCTCCCCCCCTCCCAAAGGCATCCACAGTGGGCACCAAACACCCGCAGCTGGGGACCCCGCCTCTCCCTGAGGCCGGGAAGCTTCCTGTGTTTACTTTTCAAAACCAAACAAAAACCACCGCTCAGAATATGTGAGGAGAACGCGCCTTCACAGTTAGAAGCTTTATGTAATTTGCAGCCAGAACATCACAGACTGGTGGTCAGAGCCGGGAGCTCCCAGCTCGGCTCAGCCGGGCTTCAGCCCACGACACTCGGCACACTCCCTTCCAGCCTCCACGACGGTTCCCTGCGCTGCAGCCCAGGCGGATGGACCGCGGCGTCTGCAGAGGTTGGCGGCCGGAGGGCAGACGGCATTCCAGTTCCCGGGTTTCCGATTTGGGCACCTCCGTCCCCCACAGAGGTCCTGAGGTCCACGGAAGGCGGGCGGGTCGGGATCCGGATGAAGACCTCGAGGCAGTGGGACCCGCCTCTCCCAGGAAGGGCTGCCCCGCCGGCGCCCGCGGTGGACGTGGGAAAGCCGCCGTGTCATCACCGCTCGTGCTTAATGTGGGCCTCGCTGCGCTCCAGGGCCACCCCGCTGCCGCTCCGCGGGCCTTCCCGCTTGGTCCCGTCCTTCTCCGCGTAAAACTCGGCCAGCACGGGGCAGTGCTCCGACGCCACGCCGCCCCACGACCAGTTGTCCGGGATCCACGGGTTCGTGAGGCCTTCCCTCAGCACCGCGCAGTGACCTGGGGGCGGAGACGGAGTCAGGGTGGGCCTTGGAGACAGGGGGTCCGGGCTGGAGGGCGGAGATGACTGTGTCTCCGAGGCCTGGACCCAGCCCACACTGCTACCTGGAGCGCCCTCCAATGAGGTGTCGGGCCCCCCTGATTCTGGACAGGTGACGCTGATCATTTAGGCCCTGAAAGCCCGCAGTCCAGGGCACCGGCCCACCCACACTCGTCAGCCAATGGTCGGCCGCCCCCTTACACTTCTAATCTGGGAGCAGGAGTGTCTGACAGGGGGATAGATAGTCTCCCTGGATGGCCAATGCAAGGCTGTGGTGTGTGTGTGTGTGTGTGTGTGTGTGTGTGTGTGTGTGGTGTGTGTGTGTGGAGGGGCAGTTCCATAAAAAGGGGAACAACGGGCAAGTTACAGTGGCTTAGGAGCCAGTAAATATTTACAAAGCAAAGATTAAGAAAAATATGAAGCAGGAAGGCAATGGAATGGTTCCAAGAGCCGGTGCAGAGCAGTGGCATGGGAGGCCTTGGGGCGGAGCCACGGGGCCAGTGTGAGATGCCCAGGCCCTCTGGTCGGAGCCATGGCCTCCCCCGATGGTGGGAACTGCTCGCTGGGTCTCGGCTTCTACACCTGAGCAGCACAGTGACAGGTGACCTGCCTGTGACCTTGGGGCCCTGTGGTCTTGGGCTCTAGGCTGGCTTGGTGAGAACAGTGCCTTCGGGGGCCCCCTCCGGGGAACCAGCTGTGAACGCAACTGCCACTCCCCCTGAGCCCCTCTCTCCCCCTCAGGACACAGTCCCCCAGGAAACCAGTGTCCAAACTGGACTCTCTGGCCCCGAGGACCTCAGCCCAGCTGAGTGTCCCAGTGCCCCCCAGCGGCCCAGGCCTGGGCCCTCTCACCTGGGACTGTCTCATGGATGTTTCTATGCAGCCGCTGGGGTCCCAAAGCCTCCAGGCAGCTCAGAGACCCCAGTTCCTGCCTTGCAGAAGCGCCTACTGTGGCCTCCATATTTCTGTTTTCTGACCCCAAACAGTGACCTCAGCAGGTTCCTGTTTTTGGGATGGGTTGCTTTTCAGTGCCATTACCCACAGCACCCTGGTCCTGGTGGGTTCCTGTCTAACGTGCTTCTCCTGCCTTATCGGTCACCCCGACACTCTGCTCACCCCGACTGCTGCTCCTGGGCACGCAGTGCCCAGGCTGGAGAAATGCTTGCTGAGCTGCAAGGCATCCTAGACTTAAGGTGTCAGTTCATCTCTGCACTGGGTCTCAGCTAGCCCATACCCAGGTCTGCCCGGACACCCCCCACCCCCATGCACCTTGTTGGAGGCCAGGGAATGCCTTTCCATCCTTTTCCACTCCCCTCACCCCCTTCACTCTTAAAAGTGGCTCTGCTGGAGTGACAGTTACATGGTGACTGGAACTGTAACTCCACAACTGCCCCCGAGGAGGTAGGTAACCCCCGCCTCCTGCTCAGCCCAGACCATGGGCACTGCCAGTTCCGACAGCTTTCGCTTCCTCCCTTCCTGAGCAGGAGGGAGGAGGCGCGGCTGGCATCACCTGTGAAAACCTTCCTCAGGCTTTTGCTGATCCAGATGTTGTCCAGGGACTTGGAGCCCTGCGGGTTCTTGGTGCTGATGTTGGTGAAGGTGTGCGCGGGGACCAGGGGGTGGAACCGTTCTTTCCGCAGGAGGTCGTGGTCGCTGCTGTCCGGGCCCTGGCCGAAGTCCCCCAGGACCACCACGTCCTTTTCTCCTGGAAGGGGGAGGAAGAACGTCAGGAGTGGAAGTCGTGGCCGGAAGGTCCCCTGGCGCTGACCACAGCCCGTTTGTAAGTGGGGCCGTGAGTCTGACTGGATGCCCCCAGGCGACAGGACTGCCATGTAGTTCTCATTCTTACAATTTCCCCAAATTCCTTGTACAAAAATGCCCAAACCTTAAAGAGGAGGTTAGTAACACTTGGTAATGGGGGAAGGAGGGTGCGCATGTGGGCAGAGGTCACCCTTAGTCCAGCTGTGTGTTCCAATCTCACAGCAGAAGGAGGCCTAAGGGTCTCGCCCAGAGTTTTTACAAAAGCTCAGAGAAACATTCACTGAACACAGAGGAAAGCCACGTGAAGATACCGGGAGAAGGTGGCCGCCTGAAGGCCAAGGGCAGCGGCCTTGGGGGAAACCAGCCCTGCTGACATCCTGGCCTTGGGCCTCTGGCCTCAGAACTGGGGAAATGAATGGGCTGTGCACGCCGCTGGCCGTGGTGTTGTTACGGCTGCCCAGCGGACTAATACAGAGCCGCCCCGAGAGCTTTTCTCTCTAAAGCGTTTTCAATGTTTCTCCCTCAGTTTGACGTACACTAGCGAGTGGGAGAGTTGCCAAGAATTGTCCAAAGTGAGCAGATGTCCCGAAAGGGCAGTGGGCCCCGCGGGGCTCAGCGAGTCTCGCTGACAGTCTGACCATCGCTGCGTGTCTCTAGCCTGCAGGGAGCCATGACATCACAGGCGCAGTGTTTCTGTCACACCTTTCTTTTTAAAGATGTTTCGTTGATTTCAGAGAGAGGGGAATAGAAACATCAACGATTTACACCCCCTCCTGGGGATGGAGCCCACAACCCGGGCATGTGCCCTGACTGGGAATCGAACCGTGACCTCCTGGTTTACAGGTCGATGCTCAGTCACTGAGGCTTTGAAGAAAGCAGTTCACAGACGAGAGCCCACTGTACCCGAGACACCCACCAAATCCTTTTCCTTGACTGGAATCTGCTTCAGTAGCAATGGCTCAGGGAAGAATAGAAAGTGAAATGGCACAAGCCACCAGCAGAGGGCACTCGTGCACCGCAGGGGACCCTCCTCTAAGGCCAGGAGGGACAAGAAGGGGATGAGACCGAAGCCTTCCAGAGGCTTCCTTGTGTGGGCAGCAGAGATGGCCCCTCGCCTCCATTGGAATGATCTGTCTTGAGAGATCAGTGGCAATTTCCAGTGGGAAAGCTGACCTGAAAGTAATGTTACCAACAAGTCCAACCCGGCCATCGGTAATCATCACTGAGCCCTGGCCGGGGCCCTCTGAGCAGGTAAGTCAGAGCCAGCCCTCCAATCCAGGCTCGCCCACACAACTGGGGTGACACAGGGGTGGGGATTCATTGCAAACCCCCCGGTGCCTGGAACAGGGCTGCTGCACGCAGACACTCAGTGGACACGGTGGACTCAACAGGGGGAAGTCTGAGAAACCTCAGAACCAAGGCGCCGCTCACGGTGGGAGGAAAGGGAGGGGTGGCTGCCTGTACTGACGATGGAGGAGAGGAGGGCGCTAACAGGCTGAGGGGAAGGCCCCCACAAGGAGAGGTTTCCCGGGGGGCAGACCTGAGGAGGGGAGGGGGGGTTGGAGGACCATTCTGGACCAGGAGGGATGCCGGGTGTGCGGAGCCAAGGCCAGCGGTGCAGCCTCAGGAGCGAAAGGCACACGTTTCTGTTTTCTGCGGAGGAGGCCGCAGCTCTTTCCGAACAGGCACCACCACGGCTCCTCTCCTTTTGGCGACGGCTGGGAGCCACCCAGACCCTGCTTGTCGCTGAGAATCTCAAGGTTGCAGAGCCTGCATTCTCCCAGACAGCATCGCCTCAGCTGGCTCCCGGAGACATCCCAGGTTCCCAGAAGGACAGGGAGATGCTTGGGGCGGATTTCCTAGACGGCCCCGAGGCATGTAACACGTCAGTGACGGTGGCAGGTGCCGGTCCCCACAGAGGGATGTCGGGCACGACTGTGTGCCGGCGTGGGTCTTGCCCCGTGGGGTCTGAGAGCAGAAGATGCCATGGTATGACAGGCACAGTCTCCGCTGGCACCAGCCTGGCACAGCCTCCGACAACGGCAGGAAGGCCCGAGCTCGCCACCCGCATGGCTCTGTGGGCGCTGCCAGCCTGTGGAGCCGAGGCTGGGCCTTTGTTTCAGCCGAGCCGCCTGTGCTTGTGATTTGCCCTCTGCGCCCGCGGCAGGGGCACTTCCTGAGTCCTCGGGTGGCCGAGTCCCGGGTTAACAGGCAGGGGGATGCCGGCAGCTGAGTCACTGCCCACACCCGGACACGTCAGGGCAGCGCCACTGTGGGCCAGCAGCCCGGGGTGACCTGGAGCAGGAGCCGCCCCGCCTTTCTGATGCAAACCCGAGAGACTGGGCGTGCCCACGGTCATCAGCACCGCAGCGACCGGGCTTCCTCTGTGTTTCCACGTTAAAAAAGGAAAAAGGGAAAAGCCCGAGATCAAGAACAACAGAAATGGCCACAGCTCTCAAAAGCGACCCAGCCATCCTTTTGAACGGGCTCCAGACTAAACTGTAGGCGAACCGTTTCCCACAGCTGCTCCCTTCTCAGCCCACAGACCCATCTTTCCAGGAGAACGCTGGCCCAGCACATCCTGGCCCCGACCGGAAGCCGCATTTCCATGTTCCTAGCAGCCAAAGGCGGGAACAACCCACATGCCCCCTGGCCGATGGACAGGTAAGCCACGCCGGCGGGTGGACGGGCGGTAAGTGTTCAAGGTGGGGCAACAGTAAGCGAACGGTTGTTTGTGTGGGAAGTGATACAGTAATGAATAATCGTACAGGAATAAACTGTGTTTCGAATACCCACAACTATAAACCTACTTTTGCTCCCCCCTATAGGAAGCGGCATGGTTTCTGGCCTTAAAAAGAAGGAAATTCTGGCACCTGCTACATCATAAAGGAAACGTGAGGACATGAGGCCAAATGAAATAAGCCTGACACAAACGGGCAAAGACTTGAAGACTCTACTTCTAGGGGGTCCCTAGAGCAGCCACTTCCACCAGATGCATAAAAAGATCCCCAAACGAATCAAGATGAAAAGCTAATAGAGACAGAAAGTGGATGGAGGTTCCCAGGCACGGCGGGGGGGTCAGGAGGGGGACAGGGGGAGCGAGTGGTTAAGGGGACAGAGTCTCCGTTTAGGATGGCGACACGGTTCTGCAGATGGACGGTGGGGACGGTCTCACAACCAAGTGGATGTACTCTATGCCACGGACTCTTACACTTAAGCGGCTGGGATGGTCGATTTTATGTTCCCTGTCTCTTAGGCAATAAAACCATCTCAAATGTAAGTCTGTAGTTGGGCCAATTTTTTTTTTTTTTTTGTAGTCGATTTTTCATTAATTGACTACATTGTGAGGGGCCAATGTAACAAGAAACATGCCGAGAAAGCGAGAGAATAGTGGTCAAAACTCAAAAACGTGGAAGAGAATTCCAGGCTGTGAGCCCTCGCCAGAGAAGGCCGGTGTCCCGGAAACCCAAGCCCGGCCGAAACGTCCCGGCTTTGCCACCCTGGCCGCTCCTCCTCCCAGCTAACCACACTCAGATCTGCCTTTTCCTGTGCTTTACTCCCTCTGGAACCTTCCGAGTCAGCACCGATGGGCTCGGTTCTCCGGTCAGCGAGCCCCCGGGCACCTGCGAGGACGGCACTGCTGGGTCCCCATCGGGTGACGGGCCTGAGGCCCTGCAGCTGCTGACGGGCCGAGATGAAAAGCAGCTTTTCCGAGAGCTCCGGCCGCCAGTGCTGTCCGCGTCCACCAGCGAGAAACCCACGTACTGCCCGCTGATGGGCCTTCCCACGCCCATCACTTGCCACCAGCCGTCTCTCCTTCACAAGATGAGTGCGTGCAGAGACGCAGGCGGCACCAGCACAGTGGCACAGTCGAGGTGGTGTCATTGACCCCCCAATCCTTTCCATCACAGACAGGCGGAGAGCTACAAAGCCGATGCTGTGGGTCTCGCATGTTAGACGCGCAGAGACAAGGCGGTCCCTTTGCACAGGGCGCCGGCTGGGCTCCAGAAGGTGCGGGCGTGGCTGCCTCCTGTGCCCTCACCATGCACCCTGCCCACCCAAGGACCAGCCTGCAGGACCAGAGATGCTGGCAGAGCCCACCCTGCCGGCCCCGAAGAAAGACCGTTCCCCACCTTTCAGCGTTTCCTGCAAGGCCTGGGCGAAGCTGGCCGCGCGGTGGCCATCGCTGTGGTTCCTGCTTGGATTCTCCCCCGCGGGGAGGGGCAGGGCCGCCAGGTGAAGGTTCACGAGGGTCAAGTCATGGCTTCCCACCTGGACGGGAGGAGACAAAGCAACAGGGACAGGCTTAGAGGCTTCTGGCCCTGGTTTCCATCACCACCGCCTCGCTGTGGTTTCGTACACACGTGGGCAGCCGGAGGCGAGGGAGGCGGCCCCGGAGGTGGGTCAGAGGCCCCTGTGGGAAGAGAACTAAATGTGCTTTCCTCGCCCCCTACATGCACCCTCTCCTGTGAGGCCTGGGAAGTTGGCCCATCGGGAACGCCAGAGTTTTCCCTTCTAAGCAACCACAAGGGAGGGGATGGCTCTAGCAGCTGCTGGTTAACAAGGTCCAGGGTCCTCCCCGGGGCAGGGGACTGCTGGGATCCCCTGCAAGGCCCACTGTGGGCCCCACCTCCTTCCCCACCCCCCACCCTCCACATCCCCCCACGGCCGTGCCTTCTTTCTCCCTGCGGCCCCATGTTCGCTTTCACCTCCCGCACAGGCTCTGCCCGTCCTGCATCCCCAGGAGGGGCCTCGGGGTGCAGGTGGGGCTGGTCCTGAGCTCGCACTGTTGCTTGGCTGCTGGGGTTTGGCAATCCTGACTTCCGTATGTCAGGGCAACCACACCGCGCACTGATGGGAAGGGAGGGCGTGCAGGGGCCCCGGGAAGTGAGCCCGGCCTGCCACCGTCCCCAGCCAGGAGCTCTCTGCAGCTGTGGCTCTGACCGCAGAGGGGCCCTCTTCATGTGGGCAGGGAAACCCCTCCTGGGGAGCCCCCAGAGCGAAGCCACGCCTCTGTCTGTGCTGCTGCCTGGCCTAGAACGAAGCACGGGCGCCTGCCTAGGGGCGGCTTTGTTTAGAGAATGTGGGCTGACTTCTCATCGGCCGCCTCTTACAGACACCGCGGGCGCTGGCTGCCGCCCCATGGCCGAAGCTGGTACAGCTCGGAACATAAAAGGGGCCCAGTGTTGTGAGGAGGGTATAGGGATGATGCCCAGCTGGTTTCCACATCGGGACCAGGAGCGCACCCCCCTCTCCCCCTGCACCCCCAGGTATGTGCTCACCAATCCCTGCAGCCACAGGAGGGAGAAGGGCATGTGCCCAACCACCCGACACAGCCCCCAAGCAGGGCAGCCCGGAGGCCAGCCAGCCGAGGCGCCCCTGACTCCCCGCCTACAGAGGACATTCCCCCCTTCAGGAGAAGCTGGCCTTCATGTGACGCGGAACGGGTACCTTGAAACGTGCCAGGTACGGGCTGGGGCCCACGGGCTTCCCGTGCCCATTGCCCGGGGAGCTGTCCTGCGAGGCGGCGTCTCTCAGCTCCACCCCGGCTCCCGCGTCCCACAGGAACCCCGAGAAGCCGGCCCCCTGCGGGAGAAGAGAGGTGTTAGTTAGGAGAGGGGTGGGGCTCGGGGCTGGGGGGTTGGGGGACGAGGCAGGAGGCCCAGGGTTACACACTCAGGGGCTGTTCCTGAAGCACAAGCTCACCCTCCAGACATCTCATACCACCCGTTTCCCAACTCCCAGGGCTTTCCGGACAGCCGGGTGCCTGGCACTTCTCTTGTGCAGGGAGGGGCACCTTTGTAATCACCCCGTCCTCTGAGGCAGTCTCCCATGGGCCAGAGGAAGACCCAGCTGCTCAGAGAGGGTAAGTAACGCCCCCGAGACCCACAGCTGGTAAATGGCAATGCTAGGAATCCAAACAAGACCCAAGGGCTGGGTGTGCTGGCCGATTGCTGGCCGATTGCTGGCCGCTTACAGCACACGGGGCTGGTAGGCGCCACAAACATTTACAGGGTGAACGGAGGTCGGGCGAACAGGCCAATGCAGGAACGGGTCAAGCCCTCCGAGGACCCCCAGGGCCTGAAGCTGGGAGCAGGCGCTGTGAGGGCTGGAGGGGGCAGACAGACAGGCCGGGCTGGCAGAATTCGGTGCTTGGGGCTGAGACTTGCCATCCTGGCAGTGGAGGGGGGGAGGGGAAGGAGGGTATTTGTTGAAGGGATGACTACCGAGTATTAAAGGGGCTGTGAGAGCATCATGAACCTGCGTATGTGTCAAGTGCTATTAGCAACAACAACAGGGCGAGGTGCTATGATTTCTGAGTGGACTGAGGATACAGGGTTTTCCCTTCTAAGCAACCAGGGCTGCAGGCTGCTCTTGCCTCTGGAGGACACACACTCACAGAGGTGAGGGCGCAGAGTGGTGAAAACAAGACCTACTCCGTCCAACTCAGCGCTATTCCCAGGCCACAGGGAGCACACAGGGTGTCTCCCACAGAAAGCATCTCACCCCAGCACGTAATGCCGGGAGAAAAGAGGTTTCCAACACGTGTTTAAGCAGTCGCCGTGAAGAGACCTTATGGTCCGCCATGGCTGGGTAACTGGCATCCAGCTTACAGTTATCATGTAAAAGCCCCAAATCTCAATGCCACTCACAGTGGGACAAGCCTGTGTCCTTTATAAGCATCCTAGAGGCCCAGTGCACGAAATTCATGCATGGGCAGGGTCCCTAGCAGTTGCCAGTCAGGGCCTCCCTTCCCCCAGGCACCTGCCACTGCTGCTGGTTGGGGCGGGGCTGGCCAGAGGGCAGTTGGCCCTCACCTTGATGGAACTCCCAGTCAACCTCCCAGTCGAATTCCAGGTCAAGGGGACAACTTGCATATGAGGCCTTTATTATATAGGATTTGCTATCCTGGAGATGACATGATGACGTCTGCATTTATAGGGAAGTTGTGTGATGACACAGTTCCCAACCCACGATTAACTAACAAACGTCTATTTTAAAACCTAAAACTCCATATCGAACCTTCCAAATGAGCAAAAACTGGTCTTCTATGGGATATGTAAGAGTGCCCATGTACACACACAGCCACAAAGGGAGATCTGAGGAAAGAGAATCGAAAATTGAAGTCCGCTGAACGTTGTCACCATTCTCTCAGTTTCCGCACCCACAGCCAGCCCTTGGCTCCCGCGTTTTCAGTCCACCAGCAGCAGGCTCTCCGTGAGCTCGGCAGAGGACAAAGGACAGAAACACCCCATTTGCTGCCTCAGCTCCAGGCAGGACCTCTGCCCCCTCCCAACACCCCAAACTCCCATTCCCACCTGGGGAGCTGTCCGTTCGGATCTCAGCACAGACTGACAAGCGGGCGTTTAGAAATGAAGGGGAAAAACAGGCAGAAAGACAAAACTGCATCAAGGTTGTTGGCAAAGGAAGTTATCAAATGCCTGTGACGGGGGGAAAGGACGTTCAGTGAAATGGAGGAAGAGGCCCGCGTTGCGGGGAGGGTACCTTCTGGAGCTGAGCGGAGGGCGTGTCGGCGACCACGGCCTTCCAGCTCCCCTGAGGCCCCTTCCACCTGCGGATGTGGGGCAGGACCGGCTGGTTGAGCTCCGCACAGAACTGCAAAGACAAAGACGGGGTGGTCAGTGAGGCAGGGGCGGCACGGGAGCCGGTGTGGGGGGGGTGTCCCGAGGCAGCGTGCTCACGGCGGGCTCCGTCCTGGTGCGAGGGCCAGGTGACGAAGCCCAGGCCCCGCACCTTGAAAAGCAGACCGTCTGTCTGTGATACGCACAGCGATCCTCATTGATTCATAGCAACGGGCTCTGTCCGCAGCCTCCGGCACACACAGTTCAGAACATGCTGTCCCCTGCAAAACTCGTGCTGCTGAGGTGCCAGGAGGGCGCAGGTCGGCACCAACGCAGGGAGAACGGGTGACTGCGGGGTGGTCTTTTCTCCCGGGCGTGGCCAGGAGGTGCAAACACCGACCCCAGCTCCGCCCTGACCACCACGCTGCTCACCTGACCACCACACTGTCAGAGAAGAACACCTGCAGGTGGACTCCTCGGTTCACACCCTAAACCTGAGTGCCAGGGCCTGTGGACACCTGAGGACAGGTGACTCCCCGGTTCTCACCCTAAACCCGAGCCCAACCGACACAGTCCCATTCCCGGGGATGCCCCTTGACCAGAGGGCGGTGTGAGAGGGGTGACCAGGGTGACAGTTTCCCATGCTCACTCCCACAGACAGTCTTGGGGAATGCTGGGGGCTGGTCAGAGCACCATCAGGATCGCCTGGGAACTTACGGGAATGCAGACTCCCAGGCCCGCCCGGACCCACCACATCCACAGGGTCTCGGGTGGGGCCCAGCAAGCGGAGCCAAATGCCACAGGGAATGGCCAAGCCCAAGAGTGAGCTTCAGGTCAAGGTCACGCAGCTGGAAGCCAGAGGGAGGGGGAAGCCGGGCGTGCCTCCTGCCCCTGCCAAAAGGGGGTGGGCCAGCCCGCCTGTACCAGCTCTCAGTCCTTCCTGCCCCAACTGCCAAGGAAAACAGGAGCACCCGGAGAGCCTGCCCCTCTGAGCTCTGCCTCCCCCGGTTTTGTGTTTTGTTCGGACCAGGCGGCTCTCCGCCCACACAGCGAAGGAAGGGATGCTGCTTTGGAAGTTGGGTGCGCACCGGCCGGCGGCAGCGGCGGAGATGGAAAGGGGGAGGCGTGTGTGGGCGCAAACAGTCTCCCAGGTAACTGGGGTCTGCACACCCGAGCCCTCCTACGCTACACCCTCCCCCACACCAGCTGTGCCTCTAACACCCCGGCGGCTAGCCCACGCCGGCCGCCGCCCTCCCTGGCTCTCGTTGGTAACCCACAGGTTAGCGGGCCGTCCCTGGCGGCATCGGATTCTCTGAGGGCCGGGCCCAGGCGTGCACTCCCCAGGGGTGAAGGTGTGACGATCCCCAAACAACCCCATAGGCTGGAGGAGCTGTGGACAAGGCCACACCACACCCTAAGCCTCTGGCTCGTGGCAGACTCCCTGTGGGACGAGGCGTGAGGGAGCTGCAGGATGGCTCACAGCAGGCTGCCACAGAGACCGGCAGGAGGTGAATCAAAGGACGTCCCTCTCCCCGCTGCCCTCTCCCAGGACAAGTTACAAGGATCACAGGCCAGGCGTGTTTCTCTAGTGTTAGAACAAAGCGGATGGCAGCACCCGGCCCACAGCCAGCTGAGCAGAAGGCAGAACCCAATCCCCCACCCGCTGGGGTGGCCACAGAGCGGCCCTGGGGCCTTTTTAACCCCAGGTCTCCTGTTCCCACAGCTCAGGGATTCCACGGCCGCTCACAGGACAAGGTGCAAAGTCCTGTCAGGGCACGCAGAGCCCAGCACGGCCAGGTCTCTGACCTCCCTTTACTCATCTCATCATCCTGACCCTCAGCCTCGGTGCTGCGGCCATACTGACCCCTCTGTCCTGCAAACCAGCCGCGCTCCATCCCTCTACAGGCCCTCGGCACGGCCTGGTTGTAGCCTTGGTCCCTGGCTCTGGTTGGGGCATGTGCAGGAGGCAACGAATCGGTGTGCCTCTCTCACGTTTTTTTTTTTCTTTTTTTTTCTCTCTCTCTTTTCCTCCTTCCCTTCCACTCTCTCTAAAAACCAGTGGAAAAAATACCCCCAGGTGACGAGTAACAAAAAAATCGACTTGGGCAATGGCTTTGATGTTTAAGGTGAAGCAGAGGAGCCACGCTTTCCATCCAGCAAACAGACACTGGGGCTTCAGCCGTGGGGCCAGGGTCAGGCGGGGAGCCGGGACCGGCCGGCCGTTTGCTCCCCACGCTGGTCACCGAGGAGGAATGTGCAGCCCAGCCATTTCGGGAGCGTAGACCTTTCAGAGCTCAAAAAAGACAGTTTGGGGACAAATAAAACAAGCTCTTCTTCCCAATTTAGGCATGTACTTGTGAGTAATGATTGAAACTAATTATTCCAAGTGGAGGCAAGTCTGGAAATAGCAACGCGTTTTGGAGGGTTTGGGGCTATTTTCGGAGCGCGTAGGAGGGCTGCAGGCAGAGCCAAGCACCCCGATCCCAGCAGGGGCCCCGGGGTGGCCGCACCAGGGCTGGCGCCCACGTGCCATTCCACGGATGCCAATGTTTTCACGTCGCTTGAGAAACGTGCCAACAGCAAAGGCTGAGGGGTCTGCGTTCCACTGGTTCTTCCTAATGAAATTCCCAGACAGCCAACGGGGAGCGCCAGCCACCGATGTCACATTTTACCTGTAAGCAGATGCCCCATTCTACCCCAGCTCGTGGGATGATGATAACTTTTTTCCAGGGTGAAGCCGACCGTACACTTCCTTTTCCAGAATCTTCTCCCTCTTTGACAGTGTCAGGTGGGCAGGCTGACACACAGGTGCGGTGGGTGTGGACAGGGGAAAGGACCTCGGAACCCACATGACACCTCCCACGGGCACGTTATCAATAAGAGCACATCAGAGGGGTGCTCTGTGACTCATTGCGGTCTTATCCTGCCACATGGATAAATCTCTTGCGTGGCCCCTGGTGTCGGAAGCCAGGACAGGCAACCGGGAAGGCAGGTCATTCTGGAGCAATTCACAAAGGGGGAGTGGCTTTGCTGTCCCTGGCTGTCCTTCCCCACCTCATTAATCTGCATGTGAAAGTCAGTCTGTATTTCATGGACAAGAGTCTGATGGGACAGGCTTAGGGCAAGGGAAGGAGTGGGGAGGTAGCCCAGGGCAGAGAGTCAGAGGGAAACCAAGTCCAGGTTCTAGAAACGAGTCTTGGGTTCAGTTTGTAAGGGATGTCAGTACACTTCAGCACTTCTAGGCAGACAGATCAAAATCTCGGAAAGCAGGCTGGATGCTTTCCCAGGAGTTTCAAATCTCATTAAGGTCCAGACTCACCATTTCAATGCCACCCACACAGTCCTTTATCACCTGTAGGAATCACTCATTCTAAATGGGCAGCTAATGATTCGATAGATCTCTCCATGGAGAGATCTAGCCTTCCTGACCAGCTCAGTCATCTTCCCCGCGAAGAACAGCAGCATAAATGTTTTCAGTAACAGAGCCATACAGTTATACCTGCCTGCCCTTCTGTTTCGCTTAAAATGACAAATTAGCCCCAAATTGGCTGGACACAAAGTCGTGCTCTGAAGAAATGAATGAATCATTCATGAAAAATCTCAGAATTCTGTCAAAAAATGAATTGAACGTTCTCTCATACCAACTCATTGTTAGCGTTTCCCGATAAGAGAAGCTTTTGAGGGTGGACCGAACAAGACAGGAAATTGCATATAACTCTTGTCACCATGGCAATGTGGGTGTTTCCACGAGGTGGTGGCCCCGTGCAGCAATGTGAAAGGGAATGCAATGAGTTTGAGTTGGACAGATTTTCTTTCTGATAAAAAGCAAAACAGGGTCTAGAGACTCACAAGGCAGGAGGAAGAAGTGCTTAGGATGTACCATGGCCAAGCTGGCCTGTCACTGACTGGAAAAAACCCAGGGCAAGCCCTCCTTCCTCTCTGCCAAGCCAATAAATAGTCTAGGACAGCAGTTTCCAAACGTCTTGACCGTGACTCATGGAAATAAAAAGTTTTTATATGGCAATCTGGTTAACTGTCTGCCTGCCAACTATGTGTGTATATGTTTATATATCCATCTATCTACCCATCCATCTATCCACTCATCCACCCATCCATGATCCATCTATCCACCCATCCATGATCCATCTATCCACCCATCCATGATCCATCTATCCACTCATCCATCCATTCGTATAGATATATAATGAAACAAATGCTGGTTGCAATCTACTAAATTGATTTAATAACATATAGTTTGAGAGTCAAAATCCGGTATTTCTTACTACAAAGTCCTTTGTCTTACAAGAATAGCATGATGCTCTCTCCCTTTCATTCTCTGTTTGCCAGACTGTGTGAAATGTTTTGTTGGACTTTATGTAGAAAAAGCCTTCGAAGTTTCCTCAAACCAGCCTTGGGACACCGTGTCACTCTTCAGAAACCCAGGAAATGAAATAGCCCTTTAGTAAACACAGTGGCCGAGGCGTACATCCAGCCTGCAAGCCACCTGCTCCCAACGTGATTAACAGCTGAATGTTCATCCACAACCTTGGCCAGCGGCAGTGGAATGACACGTTCTAAGTGCTGTCACCCAGGAATCTGAACATGTTGTGGACGGATCACAAGAACGCGTGCTTTCTGTTCTGAGGCTTGTGGACAATCACGAGAATTCTTTAAAAAGGTACATGTAATAAATTAACTTCGAAATGCAATGGGTAATTAATTTTAAAGCGTGCCTTTAACATTTATGTAAAACGTTTTTTGTACTCGTTCAATAGAAACTTATCTGGCTACTGGGTAAAGCTAGTAATAAAACTACTGGTCTGCAATGTGTTAAGTTCAGAAAAACCACCTTTCAAAAAAGGAAGATGCAATGCACTTCCAGATGAACTAAAACTGTAAGAATTAGTTGCTATTATAGTAGACCTTTCCTATAAGAAATATTAAAGAACGTTCTTTAGGCTGAAAGCAAGTGACCCAGACTAACCCGAATCCTCATGAAAAAATTGAAGAGAACCAGGAAAGGTAATTATGTAATAATACAAGACAGGATAAGTGCGTATTTCCTCCTTTACTCATGTTGTGTAAACAACATATATGACTGGATATACAACATATAGAAATGTAACACAGTGGACGACAGCCCAAAGGAGATGGGAAGGAGCAAAGCTGCATTGGAATGAGAAAGTGATGCCAGATGGGAACGTGAATCCACAGAAACAAAGGAAGAAAGCCGGAAATGGAAAATGAGAAGGTTAATGTCGACAACGCTAGAGATATATAGGCGTGCTCCTTTCTCCCCTCATCTCCTTTAAAAGAGGAAGAATATGTAAAGCAATGATTGGAACAATGAATAGTCCAGTCTGTAGCATGTTTAGATGTAATATGTGCACCAACAGCATAAAAAGGGGGAGAGGGAAGAGAACCACACCCGAGTAATGTGTCTATAGCTCACGGAAATAAGTTAGAGGGACTTAGATGAATGACGATGCAAACACTAAGAAAGTAAAGAGCTCAGAACTTTCAGAAACTACAGACAAAGCAATCAAACCACCAAGGACTTCCTCTCAGGGAGAAGACGGCACTCAATCCAGACTCTGAGTGCAGCAGCGATCGGATAAAACAAGTTCCAGGTGTGAGCTCTTTCCTGCCCACACCTAAATTCATAGCATTGTCTCCTAATGGCTCCAAACGTTTTAAAAAAATATTTCCAACCTAAACTCATTAAGTATTCATCATAAAAACAAATAGCGTTATAGAGATTACACACACACAAAATGAGCAATTGCTTTATATAAATCTTCACTTCTAGGTAAAATGATTTAATGATAAGAGGCCAACATTTTTTAAAATAAGAATGTTTGGGACTTGGCTCTTCCATAAAATACCACGGCCTGGGCGAGTCTATTTTGAAGGAGTGGCATTAGAAGAAGTTTAAATTTAAAAAATTTGGCTCTCAAAAGAAATTTCAGTCATTGTACTGTTGATATTTGGCTCTGTTGACTAATGAGTTTGCCGACCACTGACCTAGACAATGTGGCAGGAGGGTCGGAGGGGGACCCCATTTTAACATCCACCAATGGCGACAAATCAATCTCAAGTTGGGCTTCTCGAGAGAGGAGGAGGAGGAAGTTATCGATGGTGATGAGGATGGTATGTCAATGACCACAGCAGCAGCGAATTAGCAGGAGCAGGGATAGAATTAGCCACCATTGCTCTGGTGCTTACCAGAAACAGAACCCCTTCTAGCTCATACGTTATCTCGGTATCACTGTGACACCCCCACCCCCATGCCGAAAGGAAACCGAGGCTTGGCAATAACTCGCCGAAGAAGTCCCACCGCAGAGTGGCCTCACCCCCAGTCTGTGCGCCCTCAGAGCCCGGGTTCTAGAGGATGGAGATGGACACGCTCAGCTTTGATGGATGGCTGAGTCATGGCCTGCAGAGGCCAGGGAGCCTGGAGGGGGTAGGGGATGTGGGGGTGGCACAGGCAGTGGCCATGAGTCGGCAGGTCTAGGGCTGGGTGAGCCCGTGCTGCGCCTTCTGGCCCCTCAGGGGAGGGTGACCTCCAGCTGGAGGCCACGGCCAAGCTATTGTTTGCAGCTTTGCAGGAAGCGGGTTGAAAGGGTCGTTGAAAAATGATCTTACTAAATCAAGCTGTACCAATATTTTTATTTCCTTTCATGCAATGCCACGTTTGAAAGGCATTAGGCGGGCCTGTTTATAAAGCCTGGGAACGAAGTCTGTGTGACTTCAGTGCAGGAAACCAAACGCGTCCCCCTCACAGCAGAGAGAACGGCCGGAGGGCAGGTCCTTGCTCTGGCACCTGCGGGATGTTTGACAAAAGTTCTTCGGGTCCAAAAGGCTTCTTCAGAGGGATGCCACCTGACATTTATGTGCATTAAACCACCTTCTTGTGGGTCTAACAGTTTTATTTATTTATTTTATTTTTAAAAAAATATATTTTATTGCCTTTTCTTACAGAGAGGAAGGGAGAGAGATAGAGAGCTAGAAACGTCAATGAGAGAGAAACATCAACCAGCTGCCTCCTGCACACCCCTTACCGGGGATGTGCCCACAACCAATGTAATACATGCCCCCTGACCGGAATCGAACCTGGGACCTTTCAGTCCGCAGACCGACGCTCTATCCACTGAGCCAAACCGGTTTCGGCACAGTTTTATTTTTTTAAATAAGAAATTGGTAGACTTAAGATTATTAGCTGTAGGGTTCATAGCTTATTGCTAATATATTTTTATTGATTTCAGAGAGGAAAGGAGTGGGAGGGAGAGAGATAGAAACATCAATGATGAGAGAGAATCACTGATCGGCTGCCTCCTTCAAACCCCCTCCTGGAGATTGAGCCTGCAGCCTGGGCATGTGCCCCGACCGAGAAGTGAACCATGACCTCCTGGTTCCTAGGTGGGGGTCTGGGCAGGGTCTAAGGGTCTGCATTTCTGACTTTTTCCGAGGCTGCTGGTCTGCAGACCAGGCTCCGGTAGCAACGCTCTCTGAGTTACCAAGAGCTTTTCCTGAGGGGCCTCCCACTCGTCCGGGTGCATAAGGACCTGTGAGTCCTGAGTTCCGGTAAACGGGTGCAAAATCAGGCCTGTGCCAGGTCACAGTCCACCTGCCACTCAAATGCACTGGCCACCACGCACATGGCCGCTGGCTGCCTCTGGGCTCTGCCGGAGCGTCTGCCACCCGCCTGCACGCAGAGAGCGCCACAGGGGCCAGCAGGGTGGGTGACGGAGCAGGTGCACACACAGCACAAAAGAAGGAGGAAGGAAGTGGCCTTGGCTCCAGCGGGCCCGTGCCCATTCAGACCGCCGTGTAAAGCTGTCTGCCGGTCACGTACGGAGACAGGGAGCAGTACAAAGCCATGACCAGACCCGGTGAGGAGGAGGGAGGAGGGGGAGGAGGAAAGAGAAGGCACAGGAGCAGCAGCTAACTTTGGGGGGTCAGTCAGCGCAGGGCAGTGTTGAGTCTTTCTCGCTGGCTGTCTACTTAGTATTTTTAAGACCTCTGTGGAACAGGGATTACACGGATTTCCATTCTGCAGACGGGAACTGAAGCGCAGAGAGGATTAGCAACCCCAAGATAACTCTGTGAGGAAGGAGCTCTCTGAGCCACACCATGCGCCCCGCCCCATGGCAGCCCTCTTCTCTGCTGGGCCTGCAGCCCTTGGCTCCCCAGGTGGGGGTCCCTGTATGGACCCCTCAGATCGGATAGTAACTCAGCTCTAAAGACCTGGCTGATATGTTCCTGCCGGTGTTTACCAGCTTGGTCTGAGGTTGGGTGTGTTTGTGTGTATGTGTGTGTTTAATCTGAGAAGTAAAACCAAGAACTGCAGTGACTACTGAGAAGAGACTTGTTTCAGGAGAGGTAACCTTTTAAAAGTTCCAAACCCATCCAAAGGAGCTCCCTGCACTCCTGGACCCAGTGCGCCTTCTGGCTGGTGCACATTAAGAATTCATACGTAATTAAGAATTCATATGGCTTGAGTATCTGGCATTTAGAGAGCCTTCCGCTAACGTACTCATCGGTGTCCCGCCCCTGAGCTCCCAGGCAGCATGCTCCTGGCTTTTTACCTGGAATGGAAATGAGCTGATGGGACGTGAGATTCAGAGCCTGAGCCCAGAACCCCTCCCCTCACCCACATCACGGCTTGGTGCCTAAAAACTTAATTTGCTTCAGTGTCAACCTGCAATCCAACCACTAATCCAAACAATTCTATGAATAAAATATCATGTCGGTGCTTATCTCTCTAAGCACTTTTAAAAAGCAACTTTATTGATTTCAAAGAGGAAGGGAGAGGGAGAGAGAGAGAGAAAAAAAAAAAACATCAATGATGAGAGAGTCATTGATCGGCTGCTTCCTGCACACCCACCCCTGGGGATCAAGCCTTCAACTTGGGCATGGGCCCTGACTGGGAATCAAACCATGGTTCCTGGTTCCTAGGTCGACGCTCAAACACCAAGCCATGCTGGCTGGGCTCTAGCCACTTTCTTCCATGTTAACGTTATGTATTCTAAAGAACACCTGCAATCACATAGTTAGGAAGAGGCCGTAGCAACCGAGGGGAGCAGCCGGTGTGAGTTTGGGGGTGTGTGAGTGCCCCTGGAGAGCCTGACTTCCTTGGCACCTGCCCAGCCTAGTTTTGGGAGCCCAACCCACCTTACACCCAGACCTCAAACCCCCAACCGGCCAGGGGTCCCAGCTGTCCCTTGACTTGAACCTAGAAAGCTGAGGTGCACCAGTATCTCTTCCAGGGCACCGTGCAAACCTTGGTTTGAGACGGGGAGGGGGTTCCCCAGTGCTCAGAAGTAGCCTAAAAGGGCCTCGAATGCAGGAACTGGTCTAGGAATTAGAAAAAGCATTAACTTGGGAAATGGAACCACAGGACTCAACTCCTTCCTCTGCCACTTTGCTCGCCGTCTCACTGGGCCTCAGTCTCATCACCCACCAGCCCAGAGGAGGACACACGGCAGAGAGGCAGGGGAGTGGTTGTCACGGACCCTGGCCCTTGGGTGGGGCCCACAGCACGGCGGCTGCTCCAGAGCACGGCCCACTGCGGGGGCCTCTGCCCTCGCACAGCCCCGAGGGGCCAAGCCAGGCGGGTCTGCAAGTGTTAGCGGCACAAGAGCCACGCGGGGGGTTTGACCACAATTCCGCGTGGTGCCCTGACCGTTAGGACACAGGTAACCGCCCAGCCTGCAGCCAACTCCCTCTCTGAGGACAGGGATTGCATGTTTTCAGTGTGGGTGTGGGTGTGGGATGGGAAGAACAAAACATTTACCTTTTCCAGGGCCTCTCTGTCAAGGAGCTCTTGCACAGCGAGAAGCTTGATGCTGTAAGAAAAATTGAAACCACACTTGAAAACAAACCATTTCATGTCAGCAGGCAGCAGGCAGGTCACAGGGCAAACGGCTGAAATTTCAGCCACATTTCAATGTCACCTCCCCTCACTCGGTGGCCTCGGGTTGGACTGAAATGACGGTTACAGAACTAAATGGTGGAAGAGATCTTACTGTCTGAGCCAGCAATTCCACTGCTGGGCAGGTACCCAGGAGGCTGGAAACCTGGGCTGGAGCAGGTATCTGCCAACCCACCCACAGCAGCACTGCTCTCAGGACCCAACGTCCATCCATGGGGCACATATGCAGTGGAAGATCTTTCACTTTCCAAAGACGGCAGCGCTGGCCTAGCTGGGTTGGCTCAGTGGACAGAGCGTCGGCCCATGGACTGAAGGGTCCCGGTTCGATGCCAGTCAAGGGCACATACCTTGGTGGCAGGCTCCATCCCAGCCCCAGTCTGGGCACGTGTGGGAGGCAACCAATCGATGTGTCTGTCTCACATCGATGTTTCTCTTTCTCTGTCTTTCCCCCCTCCCTTCCACCCTCTCTCTCAAAATCAATGGAAAAATATGCTCAGGTGAGGATTAACAGAAAACACACATACACACACGCACACACACACACACACACACAAACAAACAAATTCAGGACGGACACTCTGGCCTGTGCTACCAGGATGAACCCTGAGGACATTATGAGGTGGAATAAGCGAGACACAAAGGAACAATCCCATGTGATTCCATGCCTCTGAGGTGCCCAGTGTCACATTCACAGAGACAGGAAGTAGATGGAGGTCCCAGGCCCGGCCAGGGGCGGGGAGGTAGTTAGTGGTTCATGGACAGAGTCTCGGTTTGAGATGAGGACATGGCCCTGGAGATGCCTGGTGTGGTGGGAGCGCAACCAAGCGAGTGTGCTTCATACCACCGAGCTGGACGGTACCGGCTCACGTCAGATGGAGTGTATGGCATGTGCCTTTCACCCCAGGAAATTCTCAGAGGAACTGACAGCCGCTTCATGTGAGGAACCTGAACGAAGCCAGAGGAATACAGAAAAGGACACCGGACCATGCTGAGTGGCCGTCTTCCCCGACGGCCCCCGAGGATGACAGGAAAGAGCGCGATCACCGTTTACGGAGGCTGCTCAGGGCTCCCTGGCTCTCTGCACCTGGATGGAGCCCTCCTGTGCGGGGTAGCCGGGGGCACACGCTGACTCGGACCTGCTCCCCACCCACGAGAGCTCACGGCCCCTGGGAGGCCGTAGTCAGACCAGAAGATGACGTACAGGGTGCAAGGGGGCGGCCGAGGTTCAGAGAGGAGCCGGCCCAGCTGCGGTGAGGGAAGGCTTCCTGGTGGAGGGGCCGGTAAGCTTTGCCAGGGGGAGGGCCAGGGACGGAGGCGCCCACAGGGGCCAGCAGAGGCAAAGGCGCCACGGGGAGAGAGAGGGCCTCGGGGACACAGCCACCGTTTCCAGTCCCGGGGCCAGAGCCCAGGCCGCAGGCAGCACCCTCGGGGAGAGAATTCGGAAGTGGATGGAGGTTTACGGGGAGGGACTTCCCTTTCTGGGCCAGTGGCTTCTGCAGTGGCCAGGGTCACAGTGCGCAGGCAGCCATGGCGCGCTCATCCCCGTAGGAGGAAGCAGCGAGCAGTGAGCTCGGCGGGTGCTGAGGTGTCACCAGCTCCCTCTTCACCCTGATAATCTGCTTATGGTTACTGGTCCCTGTGCCCCAGCACCCCCTCTCCTCGGGCTCTCTGCACAGGCTCTCTGCAGCAGAAAGGGGCCTCTCCGGGACCCGTGCCTCCCTCCAAAGGGGTTCTATCCACCATAAGGTCCACCTTAACTTGCAGGACTCTCTGTACAGCAGTCCTCTGCACAACTCAGCAAAGGCAACAAGTTACTAAAGAGCAACTCCAGGAAGTGCAATGAGAGTTTCAAAGACACCACCAGGAGCAGGAGCAACAATTCACAGGCCTGGGGGCTCATGGCAGGGCCCTCCCTCTGCTCCAAGCACAAGGACCTTCCCCTTCCTTTCTCCCTCCCTGCAGCTGCAGTGTTAAGGTGTGTCCGGATGGGTCCTGTGACACGGTATCCTGGCGTTATTCCTTACCCAGCTGGAGGCTATCAGAGCGGAGAGCCTTTCTGGTACCAGAGTCTTCTAGCACTCGGATACCGCACCCAGAGGGAATTCACACGTGAAGGAGCCGCAAACCCATTCACCAAATGCTCCATTCGGCACTCTAACTCCCCACCTTGCAGGAGGATCTCCTCTCTCATTTCAATCCTGCTCCTCCTCTCCTTCCTCCACCCCCTCGCTAACTCCACATATACCGAGTCCTTCTAAGTGTCAGAAACTGTGGGGCGCCAGGGTGACCAAGATGAACACAGCGTGGTCCCGGCTCCCATAGGCTCCCAGACGCCGGGACTCTGCTTGGGCACAGGCCTGGCCTGTCTCCCTGAGGCCCTCAGTGAGCTGGGAGGCACGGGGCATGCCAGCCTGGGTGGCCTGGGCTTGGCCAGCGCGCTGAGAAGAGCCCAGCTCCAGGATGGCGCTGCAATGCCTTTGTCTGCGCGGGACTTTGGAAAGAGAGGCAAATCCCACAAAAGCAGCGATTTATTTAGAAAAATGGCAACGGCAAGGGCCTGGCCTGAAGTCAAGACGGAAAACGCTCAGACAGACTTAGAAGACATGCAGTCACGGCTGTCGGACAAGCCCCAGGAGGGAAGGCGCTGAGGGCAGAGGTCCTACTCAGCGCCAGGGGCGGCATCTGCCACAGTGAGGTCTGCACAGAGCGAGAAGTGGCGAGGGGCAGCGTGCCAGGCAGACCCTGCCCCGCCGGCAGGAGGAAACACCGCTGGGTCGAAGAGCAGAAGACAAAGGCTGGCCTCGGACGGCAGACTGAATGAACTCACTGGCCCTGGCGGGCGGTCAGAGGCAGCTCTGCTGAGTCCTGCAAACACACCTACAGGGTGGCGCGCCCCCCTCACCCACGCTCCCAGTCAGGATCTCTCTTTAGTTCCCTTGCTGGCACTTTGAGTTCCACCGATTTACTCAGTGACGCGTTTTAGAGACTGAGACACGACAGTAAATGCACAGCCATGCAATGCGGAGCCATCCAGTCTCCGCACAGATAAAACATTAGCATGTAAGGCTCTGTACCAGGCTCTGCTGGGTGCTGAGGATTCAGTGAGACAAACCCAGCCTCGGCCAGGCGAGGGCACTCCAGGAGGCAGACCCGGGCGCTGTGAGCTCTGCACCACGCGAGGGGCTCCTGGAAAGTGGCCTCAGCGGACAGGTACAAGGTGCAGGCACAGGGTGGGCGGAGGAATAGCAGGAGCCATTCTCGGCAAGGGGCTTGTGCAGCAGATGGAGAGGCTGGCTCCTCCTCTCCCTGCACGCTCCTTGTTGTCCATGTGGGAAAAGCACCCCAAAGAGAATCCGCATCTGAGTCAGTTCCTGCTCCTTCAGGCCCCACAGCGCGGCCCCCAGACTCCTGGGTCCCTGGCCGGCGCCCCAGCTCCCAGCTCCCAGGGAGACCCTCCGCGTGGGACCAGGACAACCCCTTCGGGAAATTTCTTCGAGCACAAACCACCGGGCAGAGGTGACAGCCCAGCGCTAACGGGAAACAGCAGAGGGTCAGACCCATGTGGAAGCGGCCAGTGGAAGTGAGTCTGGCGTCCGTCGGAGGCTGGAACACACTTTCCCACAACCCGCTCTCCCTGTCAGCAGCATGCTCCCCACTTGGCGCCACTTTTTAAAAAATATTTCTTTATTGGTTTGAGAGAGGGAGCGGGAGAGAGATAGAAACATCCACGATGAGAGAGAATCAGTGACCGGCTGCCTCTTGCATGCCCCCCACTGGGGATCGAGTCCACAACCTCGGCCTGTGCCCTGCCCTCCTGATTCATGAGCTGACACTCAACCACTGAGCCACACTTGCTTTTTCTGACTCCTCTTTGGCTACTCTGCAGCTTTCTTTTGGGGGAAGTGGAAGGAACCACAGGTCAAATGAGCTTTTGCATTTACTGCAGGGACAGTCGACCTCAAGTTGGTTGCAGGTGAAGACTGGCTGACCCCATCCCCTCTGCACCTCCACTCTCCCGTGGTCCTCCTGTGGGAAGGTGCTCAGAGCCCTGAGAGATGCGATCTTCCAGGGGCGGCCTTGTCTTTTCTTCCATCCCATTCCATGCACTAGGCTTCCTTCCAACATCTTAATCTTTTGCATTATATAAAAACTAGAGGCCCGAAGCACGGAATTCGTGCAAGAGTAGACCCTCCTTCCCCCATCTGCCAGGGCTGGCTTCCCTCTGGCATCCGGGACCAGGGCTTCCCTCAAAGTCCCTGAAGGACATCCGGTCTAATTAGCATATTACGCTTTTATTATTATAGATTCTTTATGAGCATCAAATCCTGTGAGAAAGGAAGTAAGCAACACACTTTTGTTTTGTTTTGTTTTGTTTTGTTTTAATGCACACCTGCCAGTTACCAATAATTAAGGGTTTGGGTTTACATTTTTTTTTCCTCCCCATATTTTTGTATTTTGGGATTCACAGGGGACTTCTGGTCAACTATTTTTTTCCCCCCTATAAATGTCCACAATTTTAAAATTTGCCATCTAGTTGCTCTGTCTTTTTGCTCCCAATATTGTGATCGTGAACATTTTCAAACTCCAGGAAAATGTAGAGAATGGTACAGGGAACAGCTCCCCACCTACCCCCCACATGCCATCACTGTTGGCATTTCACCCCATTGGCGATAACACCCCATACCGGCCTATCATCTTCTGGACGCGCGGCAAAGCAGGCAGCAGCCCACAGACCTGGTTTCCGATGAGATTCTGCCCACAGGCTGGCCTCAGCGCACTGCCTCCGACTTCTCCACTGAGCCACATCCCACAGATTCCGGGCCCCTGCGGGAAACCGCCCTCAGCGCTGCTGAAAACCCACCCTTCACTCCCTAATGCTCCTCTGCCAGGGCTTTCTCTCAGGCGGCCCGAAAG